AACAATAACCAAAAAAAAAAAAAAAAAAATTAAAAGGGGTTCCCTTACTTTGAAGTGTCATTACTGTTTATGCTCCTTTACAGCACTGATAAATAAAATCGCTAACCAAGATCTGGACAGGCCCCCTGTGAAACTCTCGTACATAGAACAAAAAGAGGAATGTTGTCCCTAAGAATAATGTCTAAAATTAAACAAGATATAACGCGGGACATAAAGTTAGAAGGTTCATTACAACCTGACAGTTATAATGGATCGAGGGTTGGACCTGCGGTCAACGCCGGTCCTCGTTGTCCGTCGCCGAGATGATCCTCTTCTTAACGTAGTCCATTGCTTTATTGGCATCCAGGAACTCCTTGCTTTCCTCCCCATGAGAGATGCGAAGCCGTGCAGGAAAAAGCAGGCCATAGCGAACATCACGTCGCTCGAGCCTTGGCCACAGCYGCCGTGTAGTCAGATGTGATGATGATCAGTGTCTCTTTAAAACGAAGAGGACCACGACTCCGAGCCCAACGCAGTATTTCCACACATTCTTGATAATAGTGCAGCTTAGCAACAATAAACCGCGGCTTATCGCCTCACCTGTTTCCACCTGGAGAGCGATGAGCCCGGTCAACCAGTGGCTCTTTATCCACCTGTAGAACCTCTGCTAGCAGTTTAGCCACTGCTAAAGTGGAGCTGGATTATGGCGTTTCAGGAACTCCAATAATCCGCACATTGCACCTTCTCATGCACCCCTTCATATCGTCACACTTCTTTTTGAGCCCAATGACTTCTTTCAATTACAACACGGTGGTGCGCTGAGCAACAACCTCTTTGGACCAGTTTGACAAGCCGTCCTCCACTTCTTTAACGCTCTGTTTAAGTTGGTCTAGGTCTGTGCGCAGTTGCATCGTGCCGTTAGCTACCTCCTCTCTCACCGCTTGTAGCTCCCCTTTAATAAGAGTAAATTCTTCTGCCAAAGCCGCTTTTATTTCAGATTTGATCACAGCTGAGAGATCGGTTTTTATAGCGGAAAGAATGTCAGACTTCAAGGAGAGTGCGTCCGCCTCGCTGCGGGAGGGAGAGGAGGGCGCCGAAAGTCCGGTTTTAGCTGCAGTCAACTCCAAGGCTGCGTCGGGCCTAGCGGCCGTCGAGCTAGAATGTTTGCCTTTCCTCAAGTTTGTCGCCATTCTTCTACTCTTCCAGGCAAGAATCACTCAGGGGTCGAGTCTGGACAGACCAAATGTTCAAAACAGCAAGGACATTTAGTATAGAACCACAAACAGAACAAGTTGGAGCGGGAGCCACGCGCTATACGTCTCACTCCTCCGCCATCTTGCCCCGCCTCTCACGAACAGGTGGAATTTACGCAGCTCATTTACACACTTTTCCTGAAGATAGAAGAGTTTGTTGAATCTGACCTGGCATGTTCGTACGAACCCTTCGTATGAACAAAAGTAAGAGAAATTTAGGATAAGAATAGGAACATGTTCTTGCATGAGGCCCAATATTTTTAAAGGAGCTGAAGAAATCACAAAGTATTTCTATGCAATATATGTATATATATATTTGAAACATGGAAATGTTACAAAAATGCATTCACATAATTCATCTCCTGGATGTGTACAATGTTTTAATAAATGGATGCAGCAGTAACTGAGTTAAGATGATGTAACACTTTCTGAATGAACTAAAACAGAACTTACAGACTGTGTGTGTGGACATTGTGTGTGTTCACAGATTTGTTTCTCTTTTAGTTCTGGACCACAGAAATGCAGTGCATGCATCAAAGAAGACTTGTTTGAGGATCCCACCTCTATTCTCAAGCAAGGTGGTGTAAGTACATTTTTGTCTGCATATTTGTTAAAGTTTCTGACAGCTCCTTTAGAGCTAATTTGTGAAACACTTTGGTCAACCTCACTTTTCAACATGCTAGAAAAATGAAGTTTATATTAAATATAGTCTTAACCTAAAGTTAAAACACCCCAAATTTATGGTCACAGTAGTAAAAAAAACTTTTTAGCACTGCTTTTTAATGTGGTATAACAAATAATCTTCCTAAACTGTACAACTTTAAGTCACCAAATTGTAATGATTGAGACAGAAATGTGAAATGGGGATACAACCGTGAATTTATTATTAAAGCTCAGCGCCACAAGCCCCACCCTAAAGTTTCTGATATTCACTACAGTTTTTAGGGGTATAATTTTTTGTACTCTGGAACTCTTTTTGGGTTCTTTTCCTTTTGTAAAATTTGGATGGTGTAAAGAAGATGATCTAACAAAACTCGACTCATTGAAACAATTCTTGCTGTCAAATACAAGTAGTTAATGAATTGCTTCCATTTTTTGTAACTTTCTTTTTATTGTTTTTTAACAGAACTGTGAGTCAGTAAACATGAACAAGAACACAAGTAACATCCCCTGTACAGAAACAAAAACCATGTAAAACCAAAAATCTAAAAAATATATATATACATCTTTGTACACAATATGCACATGTACATAGCTATTGTTGTAGCTTTATGCTTGTTAATCTGGTACAGCTGTGGGTTATATTCATGCAGCTTATAGAGGCTGAGACGATGCAGTTCGGGTCCAACAGCGTATTTATTCTGCTTACAGCTTGGAGCTCACAACGACATACTGTACATGCAACGGTTGCCCCCCCTAGTGTTCACAGTCTCAACAACAGGTATTGCTTTCACTACAATACACCACAACCACATCCCTCTTTTCCAGAACAGAAATACTTTCTTGACCCATATATTTTGTGTATGAACATCAATCAGTCTTGTATGAACATGCAAAACATTTACAAACTTGCTTTTGATAAACATTCCTTTCCTTTAGTATTCTGTATTTAGGTTACTTCTTATGTAAACAGACTGAATATATTGAGAATACATCAAACAGTACATCTTATTCACCTTTTTAAACAAACAAACCAACAGCAGATGCGTAATGAACTATAACTTAAATGTCCCCTCAATCATCCTTGTACCTGGAGGGGCGCCTGACTGCTCGACCACTGCGTGTGTAACATGTAGGTACAATGGGCCTCATGCAAGAACCGTTCGTACGCACAGATTTGTTCTTAAGTTGTGCGTACGAGTGATTTAGGAGAATTTGTGGCATTCACCA